CATTTTCTACCATGCCTGAACTGGTCTCATCAGCACTTCCAGCGGGACTCGAACAATGACAATGCCACGAATAAGCTTGACAAGTGAACTACTACGATCCCAGATCACATGTACATTTCAAGGAAGGTCGGCCGTTTTCCCATATTACATTCTGTGATGGAATTGTCGATAAAGCATAGCCATAGCAATCGACTACTTTATTTTTATTTTATTTTATCAGTAGGCTTTTGAGAATACCCGTAGATAATTTATATATGAAGTGTATTCAATTTATTGGAAATGTAGGATCTACTCATATAATTCTCGGAAAAATTCAACTACCAGTCTTCTTATTCATTTAAACAATATATGGTGAATACACATTATATATAAATGATCTACTGGTAGCCTACTTATAAAACGAAACAAAGATATAGGATATTCAACCAAATCATGAGATGTCTCATTAAGTGGACTAAATTGGACTATAAGAAGTAGGTAAGTTTGAGATCGGCCACCCTTTTTGCCTTCGTGTTTTGATGAATTATCGTTAAGCTTAATGTTCTGCTCTGACGGACGAAAGCTCGACAAAGATGCCTTGCAGCCAAGGACTGGCTGGTTGGACAATTCCATCCAAATCAAAGTGCAACTATCATTTTCTAAAGTCGCAGAAGTGTTCCTTCTGATCCATGGCATTGATGCTCTTTGCCCTTTTCTGTGCATGTTCAAGAGAGGCTGGTTGTAGAACCATTTGTCTGGCGTCCCTTCTGTTTATTTCCCGCCCTACTTCATTGAAACGCAAATATCCCTCCAGCGTTTGCCAGCATCTGAGTTCCATTAGATGACATTCCAGACAACCATATTTTCCTTGCTTAAATATGAGTAAGCTTCGCGGGAGGAGAACGTGATTGCAGAAGCGGTACCATTCAATGTTGATTAGCCGAATGCATATATTCAAAATTGGTAGGCTCGAAACTATCATTGGATCTTGAATAAGAGCTATCTTCTTACCTCCTAGATCGTATACTGTTATATAAGTCTGATAGTTTAACTTTCTCAGACACGAGTAGGTCTCATGAAGCTACTCAATTTCATTAAGTCTTGTCTTCTTCAGTGCGGATTGCGGTTTCGAGCTTGCATCTCCAACAGGAATCGAACCCGTTTAGT